TCCTTTTAAAAATACATTTATCTATCCTTAATATCTTTTCCAATTTGTTCCATGTAGTGTACCTCCTAAGTGATTGTAGATTAAAAGTGCTCTATCCTTACTAGTGTTTCTTAATGACCAGTGGTAATGGGAGAGCTGCAGGCTGAGCTCTGGTAACTCTAAACTGCTGAAGAGGCAGCTCCCTTCCTGTGGAGCATAAGCCTTTCCCTATGCTGATTTAAAGACCAATTTGTAAGATGTTGACCTGTCTAAGGCCCAGCTGAACTAATGATTTAAACATTTGACTACTGAAAGATACAAGCCTCATTAACATTAAACAACTGTTCAATCTGATTCCCTACCTTTTTTCCCCTGATGCGCCCTAACATGTGGAAACATGGAAGTTTAGAAAGCAGTTTTGCATTGTTTGTATCACATAGCACAATATCAGTTGTGGGATAAAGGTAAAGATCATCTAACTATAACAGTGCATGGATTTATCACTCCAACTGGACATAATACTGGCTGTAGATAAACTAGCAAGCATATCTACATTAAATTAAATACAGTATATATATATTTTTTTTATTTACTTTAAATGTATGAAGAGTTCATTTGCAAAAACAGTTCTCCATTTTAATGAATTTTCATAAATCACATTTTTTATTCTTCATTTGTAATATCAATAGAACTAGTTGGATTTTTTTGATTAAGTAAAAATAACAAAATACAGGTAACTTACAAAATTAAACTTTATTGATTTTTTTTTTTTGGAGGTAACTCCAGAGGTCATTTCATATTTAGCCATTTAATGGATACGAGTTTTTTTAAGTGCAACATTTAACATTCAAGCAGGTAAAGTGCTGAAAAATTCAACAAAAACAGCACATTAATTGGCAACATTAAACATCATTAAGATCATTCCTCAGAAAATCCTAAGGCTGAATCTCAAATGGCTCACTGTTCCCTATATAATGCACTATGCGAATTATGAAATTTTAGCTTTTGCACATGAACATTGCACTTTGTCAAGTATGAAATTGTGCACACAAGGCTGAATCCAAAGTGCTAGACATACTGTCCACTGTTTAGATTTTTTAAAGACCTACGTACTGCAGTCAGCCGACTGACAACTTCAGGCTTGTACTGTAATAGTTAAGGTCAGTGAACAAAAAAAGACAATCAGATTGTTACTTGCAATTGTTTATATGACAGTTGTCAGCTAAAATCTTATGATCGTGATAGTCCTACTTTTTATTTGTATATAAAATGTTGCTGTATTGTTAGAAATTGCGGATATTCCTGCATCTTTAAACTGGAATGAAGTTTAACTCCCTTTACTATTACTAAAGAAATATATAGCAGAATAGATATAAAATAGATATGTAGAAATATTTAAATATGCCACAGTAGTAAATTGTACAGAATTATTTAAAACAAACCTACTTACTTGGAATGGCAAATGCTGTTTGCAGTTTCCCAGTTGAAATGTGTTCGTTTGGAAAATTATTCTTCAGTGTGCCTTATTTGATTTATCTGGTTTTTAGTCCCTGTTTTGTGATGCAGTCTGCTACTATAATGATTTTTAATGCAGTTTCCTCCTCAACTCATAATTTCTAAACATAATTTCTGTTTTACTGCTCCATAAAGCAGGTGTTTTATGGATCTTCATGCTGAACTTTCAGTGTCTGCTCTTCCAGGCAAAATATGCATGTTTAGAAATAGCATGCATACTGTCTAGTTCAGTGTGCCTGGATCTTGTTGCTGTGGCTGTTGCTGTGAGGGAATCCACTGATGGCAGAAACTTTGGCACTTGTCAGAAAAGGATATATTTATAAATGCGTGTGGTGGAATTGTCTGACCTTGGATGCCAATGACTTTGACTGTTTCACTTACCTGCCACATGCTGTTGGCTTACTGTACAACCCTGGGTCATTCTGAGCTTTAGAAAGCAGACTATTCAGAACAGTATTTTTTTTGTTCCATCGCTAAGCATTCATCACTGCCTTCTGAACAACCTCCTCTACTGACCCTCCTTGTTTGACCCCCAGCGCAGTGCATTTGAACTGTGGTCTTCTTTTGTAATTATGTCCAGTAAATATTTATGGGCTGAAAATCCTGTGGACACAGCTCTGACCTGGGTAGGTCGGCTTTTCTTGGCTTCCTGAGTATGTAACTCTAAACAGCGATATCAGTGTTATCAGCCACAGGAAGCCTCACATGTTCTCACTAGAACTCTTACTTATAAAGGAAAAAACTTTAGTGTAGAACCTTTGTTATGTGGTTCTTTAAGCTTTAAAAAGGTTCTTCACATTAACATATCTTATTTACAAAAATTGTGCTTTAAAGAAGCTAAAAAGACCTTTTCAGCACCGCTCACTGGTGTTCAGGGTTGCTAGACTGTCAGAGAACCATTGCTATGCTGTTTTTTCCATTTCCTTAGAGTATTAAGATTTATTTAAAAGGTAATTAGCCTGTCAAGTTTCAAATTTTTTAGGTAAAGGATTCTCGAGTTACAGATTTTTCAATTAAATAAGAATTATTTAGATTTTTCCAGAAGGATTAATTTGCAAATGGCAGCCATATTGTTTATAAAATTTAAAATGTGCTGGATAATTATTGAGGTTTAGGCTATGCTGAATTTTTTGACACCAAAAACATGAAGATAGGATGAAAACTGTAGGACTAGTTCGCAAAAGTAGGTTTCGCATATTATGCAAATTAGCTCAAAATCTAAGTAGGCGGAGCTTAATGGTCCAAATTACAAAGTTGTTTTGTTGGACCCAAGGAATCAGGAAAAAAATGTGTCTTGTCTGTCAAAAATCTGGGGAAGGAATTACAGAGCCAAACGCGTTGTGCAATAGCGCTACCTTAGGCCGATTGGGCTCATGGGAGGGACTACTACCTATTGACCAAGTTTCATGTCTCTAGGACTTACGGTTTGGTCTGGGTAATTCGTTTTATCGGAGAATAAGAAGAAGAAGAAGAAGAAGAAGAAAAACTCTAACAATAACAATAGGGTCCTACGCACGTGCCTGCTTGGACCCTAATAATAATGTAATGGCGGTCAGAAGAAGAATCAACTGAAGCCATGATACTGATCTGAGGACAGCTTTTTGGTGAGCAACGGGCAGAGACAGGCACGTAACATACGGAAAACCCTGTGGGGGACACACTTCTTGCTACTAGTGTCACACAGTCACCCACAGAATGACACATATAACACTTTTAACTAACTATTTAAACCTGTAAACATAGTGTTTGAGTATGAACAAAAAAATATATTTATTTATTTTTTTTCTATCTAAAACGGCGCATGGAGAGTTAAATAAGCATCGCAAATGGCCAGAGTAGCCCCATTATTTGCTATTTAAGTGAGCTTTTAACGAATAGTAGTTAATACTGCATTCCCTGTTTAAACAGTCACTTAAGTAGCCATTTTACCCTCTCAGCACCCAGCTAACAGAGAAAGCTTTCAGTTTCTCACAGGGCTGTAGGACTCGAGTCTGGACTCGAGACGGTTTTAAACCGTTGGAACTGTGGAAATGTAACATGTTTTGTAGTAAAATTGTGAAACCCCTTTTAACTATTCACTGTGATGATCCAAAGTGATTAATAACCTTTAACCTCGCCCCCTTCAAATTAATCTTTTATTGGGCCATATGTCCTCCTCATCTTGTGCTACCATCCAGTACGTATTGGGCAGTTCATTTCTGCTATTTTGTGATGTTTCATCTTGGTAAATAGATGTTTCAATTTCATTATACTTCAGCTAGTAGCCTTGGTTATGTGCTATTCTTTATTCAGTTAAATCTCAAGTCATTTAAAGTATTCTGTCCGAGAGGTATCTATAGTTTATGAAGCCTGAAAAACTACAGCTGTCACGGCTGAGGAAGCTACCTCATGATGTGTTTGTTTATACAGTATATCTGTTCCAAGTAAATGTGTTTTTACTGAATCTGACAGCCTTGTATGATGTTTAGTCTAAGTTTTTGCTAACTGATTGTTGCTAAATAACTCAAAGGCACACATTTCCAATCAGAGTTAAATTGGTTAGTGATGTTAGGTAGGAAGGCTGATGGAAAGCATGTTTCCAAAATCTGATTGGATGGCATTGAGCCTGGCAGTAAAGTGTTGCACAGAGCTGCTATCCCTGCCAAATTTCCGACCAATAAGAAAACACCATGAGTATTACATGGTGCACTTTAGCCTTTGCAATGTGATACTAATTGAAAACAAAAAAGATACAGTGTCTCAAAAACCCAAACCCTGGTGCAGACAAACTAGGTGTGAAAACCAAGTGGAAGAAGTGTTCAGCCGGCAGTAATTCATTTTCTCTTCATTTCTTGCCTCTCACTTTCCCTTTTTTTCCTAATTTGGATCGTTCTGACACACTCTTGGTGTCTTTATCCAAACCCTCTTGGTCTAGACAGGTGTCATTTTATGATGACTCTAAATCTCCTTGAGAAAAGCAAAGGTCTTTTGCTCAAATGATTTGGTGCGTGACACTCGTCTTTGTTTGCTGAACAGCAGAAATCTTAACATTGATCCACACAGACCCAGATTGAGCGAGGTCAGATCTGGGTAATTGCCCTCATGATCTGATCTTAGAAAAGATTCTTTGCTTTGTCTGTCTAAAATGAAAAATGTCATTGAGGGCATGCATTACTTTGGGCTTTGTAATCTGTGCACCAGAAGCTGGTTCAATATTGCATTTGAACCAAATGGACTTCTGCTTTTTTATTGCTCTTTCATAAATTGCAGAATTAAACACACACACACACACACACACACACACACACACACACACACACACACACACACACACACATTCTCTCCTCCTTCTCTCATTTTGTCTCCTTGGTCAGAAAATGTTGGAAATGTTGGAAGGATTATTTTTTTAAGTTTTTGAGCCAACCTAAACAAAGTTTGACATGAAGCAATAGTAGTTTACTAATCTTATACAGAGAAATTCTTGATCATAAACGAATATAAGTAATAAACACAAACCAAATACTTACATTCAGTGCAGGAAAGAGGCTGATTGAAGGGGACAGTCCAGTATTTGGTAGTCAATGCTACATCATCTCAGAGCTGTTTTTAACATCAGTGCCATTTCGGGGAAAAAAGGGAGCAAATAATGGACCAGTGCCATTTTTGGTTGTTTGTCAAACAGTGGAAGGACTTATTTTCATAGAAGATTTGCAAGTGACCATAAGTAAATCATTTATAACCAAAGTTCACATTACAGGAGAGACGACAGCAGCTGCACTATATTTTTTTTTAGATCTAAAGTTCCTGTGCTGTTACATTTTTCATTCAAGGTACAAACAGTGGTTTTAAGGTCAAATTGTGTACCCTGAATATGTTTTTCCCAGGTGAAAAGTACATATTTGTACCTTTTCATAAACTGTTGTTTTAAAACAGAGCAATTTGTTCCCTCACTAAAAGTATTGAGATGTACGCTTGAGGGTACCACCCCAATGACAGTTTTGTACCTTTTTTTTCTGAGTGTACAAGAGCCAAACATGCAGTGCAGTCTATGATGAATGCAAAACAAATGTGCCTCAGTGCATTTCAGGTAGCCTTTCTGAGCCGAGAAGAACATTTTGTAATGTTCACAGTCAAGCACTCTTTCTAGCAGCTAAAGCAGTGTTAGCTCAGTTATTACAGACAGTCTACCTGGGCGATAAAGCAATCAAGCTTTATAGGTTCTGGAAAAAACAGTTCAACATCTCTACTGCAAAGTGTCATCATTTTTGTTCTGAGCGTTTAGAGGGCTGGAAAATGGATAAAAGACTTTCACAGTGTGACTGGTTCCCTTTTAGGCTTTAGAAAACAGTATTCCTGTAGTTCTCATCAAAGTCTAGGTTCACCAGTAGTGTGGTACAGAACATTCACAAACCCAGTATTACAAATTTTGTCATTTTAATTTACACTTCTGTATAAATCATAATGTACCTGTGCTGAGTTTTATTACACTTCTTGTTATGGTACTCAATTAGGATACAGATAGTTTAGAGTGCAGATTAGTAACCATACCATGCTGTATCATGCTAATGTGTGGAAAAACTAAAATATCTGCATTTCTGTGGGAATAAAGTATCTTTAAAATCATTCAGTATGCATTTTTGATGAGAGAAATCACTTAAGCAAGCTTTTCATTACAAACTTATTTTTAGAATGAGCTGGATGGAGTTTTGACATGAATTCTTTCCTCATGATTAGTGTCTGTATTGTCCAGATTTCAACGACTACTTGCTATACTTTAGCCTTGGCCTTTTTCCTGAGCATCTTAAATGGACACTATTTAGAGTATTAAATAGCTCAAACCTGCAGTATTCTACAAGTGAAGGTATGATTTGTGCAGATGGTCATGGTGTGCTTGTATGTGTCCGGTGGCCATGACAGTGCATGACAGGTTTTTTTTTCTTCTTTCTTTATTTAAAATCATTTCCACTTCTTTGGAGTGCTTGCGTGCTTCACTTGTCTTTTTGACCTTAAGGGAGACAGAGGAATTTTTTCATCTTTTGCTTTTTTGCTTTCCTGCTGCACCACCCCTCCATCACCCCAGTGTCGATGTCTCCCGCTCACCTCACTGCCTCCAGCTTCACAATTTCCTCACTTTGTCCATGGCTGACTGGTGGCTTATTGTATCCATGTGCTTTTCATTAGTGGAACAGCATTCTGTAATCATCTCACCAGCAGCCCTGGACTGAAGCACTGCGCTCTCTCTCTCTGTCTCTGTCTCTTTCTCTCTCTCTCCCTCTCCCTCTTCCCCTAACTCCGTTCTCCGCATCCTCTCTCTCTTTCTCCATTTCTCTCTCCCTCCCTCTCTCTCTCTCTCTCTCGCTCTCGCTCTCGCTCTCTCTCGCTCTCACTCTCGCTCTCGCTCTCTGTCTCTCTCTCTCTCTCTCGATCGCTCGCTAGCTGTCTCGCTCACTCTCTCATTCACTCTCATGTGCGTTCTCTCCCTCTTCCTCTTTCCCTAACTCCATTCTCTGCATCCTCTCTCTTTCTCCATTTTTCTCTCTCTCTCTCTCTCTCTCTCACTAGCTGTCTTGCTCACTCTCGTTCACTCTCATGTGTGTTCTCTCTCTCCCTCTCCCTCTTCCTCTAACCCTGTTCTCCCCTCTTCTCTCTCGTTCTGTTTCTCTCCCTCTCTCTCCCCTTTTAACTCTCTCTTTCAAACTTTCTCTGTCTAGCTCTCTTTCTCATCTCTTCATCACTTAATTCTCTGTCCCTTGCTCTTGTACTCTCGCTCTCTCCCTGACCCCCTCTCTCCCCATCTTCTCTGTCTCACTTTCCCATTTCTCGCTCTTGTGCACTTGCTCTCATTCCCTCACCTCTGTCTCTCCCATCTTCTTTCTCTCTCTGTCTCTTGCTCTTCCTGTTTCCCTCTGTTCCTTCTTATCACTTCTCATCACTACTCTCTCTCCCTCCTTCTCTCTCTCATCCCATATCTATCTGTTTCTTGCTCTCTCTTTTTCTCTCAGCCACTCACTATTTTTCTTTCACACACTCTCTCTCTCCCCATCCCATCTCCCTTTTTTCTTCCCCTTTTTCTGTCTGTTTTTGTTCTCTTTCTTCATCCTCTCTCTCTCTCTCTCTCTCTCTCTCTCTCTCTCTCTCATCTTCATGTTAGACCTTTGTGTGTAACTTGTCAGATTTGTTGTAAGAAGACTTAATGTAACCTATGCTTATTTAACATCCCATAGAATAATAAAAAAAGAACATGATGCAGCCCTGAGGATGTGGAATGGTTTGGATGGCAAACACAACATGTGTAACTGATAAATGCATTAAAACTGCATTGTATCTCTTTTCTATCTCGGGTTGCCTTGCAGAACAATGTGAAAAATCCCCATTATGTGTTTCTCTTGAACGCTGAGATGTATGAAGAATTACATTTCTAAGCTAAAATGATTGCGTCTGTGGTCCGTCAGTGACTTTGTCTTAGACTTTGGCTCTGAGTGGTTTGGAAAATAGCTTCTCTTTGTTGGCAGAGATTACCATTAAAAGAAATGACAAACAGTTCAGACACAGTAAGCTAAACAGAAGCCTGCACGGCAAACACGACATCAGCCAGATGTTTGAGTACACCCACCCATGTGATTAAGTGCCATCAGATGAGGTCTCCATAGGCCTATTTCTTATGATGGCATTTTTGTCCACTGTTCTGTCTGTAGGGCTTTTAATAAAGTCAGAATAACATTCTGTCTCATGAATCTCTTTGTGCTTCATATAAAATGCTAAATAAAGTCTTTGGTTTTGTCTTGTAGCTCCATTTCTGATGTTTTCAACTGAGGACCTTGTAGAAGCGTTCGGAGTAAGTGATCCTCTACTATTCGGTGTTATACACAAAAACATTGATAAAATTGGAATAACATCTTTGTAATATGTTTAAATGTATTTCTTGTGATATATGTTTAAATGAATATATATGTTTTATTTCTCTTGTAACATGAATGACCTGGTAAAAAATAAGTCATTTGTATTAATTGTCATTATTTTGTTTAGAACAGTGTCTATCTATCAGTGTCTATCTATATTGAAACTCTAAAAAGACTAACTCTAAAAGACTCATCCATGCTTCAGTTTATGCTAATTGTTTCTAGCAGTATATAACCTTTTAACATGAAAACAAGAAGGCTGTTGATTCATTTTTAAAGTTCACTGAAGTCTCTAGAGATCCTGCGCTCTTGTTCTAAACACATGCAGACTGCCATTCACATTAATGCACTGCTATGCTTTATTTTATGCTTGCCAGTTTTTCCATAACTCACTTCCTCTACCCTGGAATGAACAGTTTTTGGCTCATGAACTTCCCTCCTCCAGGGTTATCGAATTAAACCTCTGCGTTTAGCTGGTGGTTAGCCCACGCTGCCTATGTGTTACTGCGCCACATGTGGAGTGAATATGGCCTCCTTGCAGTCCGTCCAGATGGAAAGAAATTGCCGTCTTTTGATGGAGTGATCACTCCTACTCAGAGTAGGTCACCAGGGAGGCAGCAGTTTAGGAAGCTCACAAGCATTTCCTTTTGGAGAACTCAAAGTTTTTCCTGTGAGCGGTGCTACAATGACAAGAATTTCCAATGTGTGTTGAATTTAACATTCTTGAAACAAGTTATGGATAATTGAACAGTGGCAATTTCTAGCATGGTGTCGTTGTTATAACAAAATCTTTTCTCAGTTACAACTTTGTAGGCGAAGGGAAAATTGAGACTGACTCAAACAGCGTTTTACAGGCAATAAGTACTTATCGGTATTTCTAAAGTTCAAAATCTCTCTAGTAGGCATCAGTGATTGATTAATAGTGTGTGTGCCAGTGATGGTGCAAATGAACTGAAATCAGCTGTAGTGAAAGGCATGTAGCCTACCAAGTGGTACTTAGATAAGGATCACTATGCTTATTTGAGATAATTCATCAAACTTGGCTTGCCTCCACAATACTACATAATCTAATAATGTGTTATTTGATCGTTGTCAATAACACTGACATTAAAAGTTGTCAGCAGATATTTCCATTGTCAATTTTTCATTTACATTTTCAAAGTGGTATCAAACCTAGAGTAAGTTAATAACGTAAGCTGAACAGAGCAGCAATTTCCTTATAGTGTTGTAATTTTGTGTATGGATAGTGAAAGAAGAAGAACAATTGTAGCTAGAAGTTGAAAAAGAAGTAAAGTCTGGGGGCATTTTCTTAAAATAAATAAAGTAGTTACATTAAACACAAGCAGGTCTGACTGGCTTTCCACAGAAGTACAGTGTTGCCTTCGACCACCAGAAAAGAAAACATGCTGGTGTTGATTCTGAAGCAGCAGAACAGTCATTAATAGTAGCTTTTCTTCCATGCTGGTGTTCTCACAAACCAAACTAAATTGCTCCCTGAGGAAGCGCAATTCGCAGTGTGATGCATGATTCGTAAGTGATTTGTAAAATCACTAAAGCCCATCATTGTCATTACTAAAATTACTATTACTAGTGTTAGATTTCAGTTAATTTGTGCTATCATATTAGCCAAAAATGTGGCAGTAGTGCAGTGCATAAAATCATGCCGATACAGGCCGGCATCCTCAGGTCACTTTACTAATGTTGCATTTCTAAGTGTTTCTGTTAATTAGAAGTGTTTAGCAGCTACTTCAAAAAATGATTAAACATTCGACAGCTTGTCCTGTCAAGGTTCTGTACTCTATTAGGAACACCTGTGTACCTGTAATTTCATGCAATTATCTAATCAGCCAATAGTGTGGCAGTCGTGCAGTGCATAAAATCATGCAGATATGGGTAAACAGCCTCAGGTAATGTTCACATCAATCATCAGAGTGAGGAAAAAATGTGATCTCACTGATTTTGACTGTGCCATGATTGTTGGTGCTGCTGATCTCCTGGGATTTTCACGCGCAATAGTCTCTAGAGTTTACTCAGAATATTGCAAAAAAGACCTCATCAACCTAGTTGATGAGAGAGGTTAATGGAGAATGCTCAAACTGGTTCGTGCTGACAAAGGCTACAGTTATTCAGATAACCACTATATACAATTGTGGTGAGCAGAAAAGCATCTCAGAATGCACAGCATGTCAAACCTTGAGTGCATGGGCTACAACAGCAGAAGACTACTTTGGACTCCTCTTTTCAGTCAACAGAAAACAGAAGCTGCAATGGGCACAGACTCACCAATAGAAGCCCTGAGAAATGTAGCCTGGTCTGATGAATCTCGAATTCTGCTGAGGCACACAGATAGTAGGATCAGAATTTGGCACCAACAGCATGAATCCATGGACCCAACCTTCCTTGCGTCAACAGTCCAGGCTGGCGGAGATGGTGTAATGGAGTGAAGAATGTTTTCTTGACACTTTTTGGCCTGTTTAGTACCCATTAATTATCGCTCGAATGCCACGGCCTATTTGAGTATTGTTGCTGACCATGTGCATCTTTTCATGGCCACAATTTCCCTATCTTCTATTGAATACTCCCAGCGTTATAATACACCATGTCACAAAGCAAAAGTTGTCTCAAACTGGTTTCATGAACATGAGAGTGAGTTCATTGTTCTTCATTGGCCTTCCCAGTCACCAGATCTGAATCCAGTAGAACACTTTTGGGATGTCAGTAGACGAAGGTAGATTTTTAGTGACTACACATGCTTCTACACATGCTTTAGTGCGTGAAATTTAGCACAAGCTAAAAATAGGACAAAAAAAAAATTTATTGTAATTATCAACCATAATTTCAATATCAGATTCATAAGAATGGATGGACTTAAAATGTTTTGTCACGTATCGCTAAATAATGTATCGACTGCTGATATATTGTGCGTCCAGTAGATACATTGTGAAGTACGATGTTGTAATGATCTGCAATTATCATAGCAGCAGGATGTTGTAAAGGTCTGCAAGGATCTGGTAAGGTCTGCAATTTTCATTGATGTTATCAACCTGGAAATGGGTGTGTCTTTGTAGAAAAAGGGTGAAATTTCATTTTAGACATCTCCCTCACACCCATCAAGGTTTATATTGTTGTGCTGTTGTGAAAATAGGGGCTGGGAGCTGTGGCCAAGGCAGAAGTGGACAGGAATTCTGTTGTCGGGTGATAAAAATGGATCTCATTTTATACTATATGTCAGATAAGACATATCAGTGAAGCCACAACATTTACGGTTGCTGTTATCAGGTGTATGAAGCAGCACCCTGATCTCTGCCAAATCTGCTTGCAGTTATCGGTGTAGACATCATTCTCAGGAATATCCATAATTCTTATTTCAGAAAATACACCAGCTGTACTCTAACTTTCTGCATTCAGTACTGGCACTTTATGAGACATGACCACAAAGGAAATTATATTCATTGTATTAAGTCAGTGCATCATTGGCTTAATTTTTTCCTGTCATCATGTGAACTAGTCCCTTTGCTCCATCATGATGGCTTTTACCATGATGAATCCTACCAGGGTTCCGGAATGATGGAAATCTTTTTTTGGTGCAGCTCATCAGCCTAAAGACCCCTAGGGCCTCCATATGGAGTGGAATGATCCTAATTGACAAGCATGGGGGTTCAAAATCATAGCATGAGGCAATTTACCCTTGTTTCCATTCTATAATAACTATATTTCTTTGACATATTGTCAAATAGGCTTGTGCCAGTATTACACTTCCATGCTGCAGACCGGTGTTTGATCCGCCACCTGGGCAAGCACCCTATGCTATACCCATAAGAGTCATTGGGCAACACTCCTAACACTGCTGCTTTTGCTTACCTCTGTAAAAATGATAAAATTGTAAGTCGCACTGGAGAAAACCTCTGCCAAATGCCATAAATGCAAATATAAACATAAAAAACGCCATATGCTTCGCTGTATTACATAATCACCACGTACATGGCGCACCAGTCATTATGTAACACTTCATAACCTGGAAACTTACTATATTGGTAGGTTCTGTTTATCAGAAATTTCTGCTAGGGGTAATATGAGATTTTTTTATTATATGTTAGGATCAACGTAATGATGGTGGAATTTTTTTCCACAAAGTTTAAAACTACATGACTCGCATCTACAAATGGACTTGAGCATACAAAACAAAGCTTGAGCATTTTTCTTTTCTCCATGCTGGCCGAGACGTGTTTTCGCCTTTTTTAAGGAGAAAAAGAAAAAAAATCTGTCTGTTCGTCCTTCTGCTGTACTGTAGCTGTTTGATTGTGATTGTTTACAAGCTCTGCTCAGAGGAGGGACTGTTTCACGTGATCAGAGCGTGAGAGTGCAGTGGGAGTTTGTGAGAGCAGAGCTGCTCTGTGTCTAAGAAACCTCAAGTAAAACTGCTACCTGTTTGACTAAATTGCAGTGATAGTGTTCCAGGGTGTCCACGATAACATTACTGTGTTTATTATCGCATTGTGCTCAATTACCAGATACACAGGACTGTTGTGGAATATTGCTTTACTTTAACGGACAACCATTGTGGACTTCTACTAGCATGACTTAGTATAAATGAACATGTTAGTATGAAATGATCATAATTTATTATGATCTTATTTTTTTCTATTAAAATTATGATACATGGGTCAGGTCTTTGAAAGTAAGATCTTACCCCCACAAGGCCCCAGCTGTTTACACTTTGTTCTGAGAGTGAAATGCCAAATATTTCGGCCACTTCTGAGACCCTGTTCTGTAATACAAAGGGAAGTGGAACGATTTAATATGTTTCAGGAATGGATCTGCCTATTATTGGCTTTGCCATTGTTTATGAAACGTAAAGACCCCCTACTCCATCTCTATTTAGTTAAACCGCCCCTAAGACTTACGGTTGTCACTATATACCCAGCAGTGTCATTTG